TCTCGTTGGCCTCTGGGGGCAGCAACCCAGCCACCCCTACTGGCTGCATCCGCCACGACGCTGCCAGGCTCCTTCTTCTTCACCGACTCCTCCACCAGGGCCGCCAATTGCGAAATCTGCCGTTGCAAACTTGCAAGCTCCGCGTCGCGGCCCTCCTGCACTGGCGGGCGGATCTGTTCTCCGCTCGCAGCAGCGCGCTCTTCGTCTCCAGCAGAGCTCATCCCGATGTGGCTTCCCTCGAGGGGCAAACTCTAGAGTGTTTGCGGCCTACGCCACTTATTTATCGGGTGAGACTGTTTTGGTGATGTATTAACTTCACGGGAGGTAGACGACCATCCTTCACACGGACGAAAGAGGGAGTGCTCAAAGAGCGGCTCCCACAGCAAGGAGGGGCCCCGTGAATCATCGCGGTGCCCCCTATCAAACGATTATCTTACCAGTCTGCGTGACGCAAAATCATCCAGCACGTGTTTCCAACAGCAATGTTCGCAGACTCACGAACAGGCACCGCTACCGTACAGCAGCCAACCGGACCAGCAGCGGGTGAGTGATGCAGGGCGTAGGTTGACCTTAATGCGGGGCTGAACCGTTTTCATGCATGTCTCGTGCCGTGGTGTAAGTTTGTTCGCCTTTTTGATGCGGTCAACTGTATTTCCCGTTTCCCACTCAGGGCCCAAGCCCAAGCTGGGATCTACCGTTTAGTCTAGAACCAACAGCCGTCCTGGATACAAGAAGCCCTTCCTTACGCTGTACGGCTCAAGGGTGTTATTACTGCCCCCCTCATGCGCACCAAAAAGAGAAACTGGATCTCCGACACATAGCTGTGGAGCGTCTCTGTAGAAGCTCATTGTCAACCCTTTCAGTGCTAGTCGAAATGTTGGCTCACCTGTGCTCTTCTCGATCATTTGCCCCCTCTATTAGATATATTGGGGGTACTCGTAGCATAGTATGAAGGGTAAGATCTTCAGTACGTACATACGGAAGTTGCAGTGATGAGCTGCGGAGGAATCAGAGAGATCCGTTTGGTAGTTTGAGCGTGATGAGCGTGACGCGTGCTTGATGCCGTGACAGATTTACGAGCACGAGCACCCCCCCGAAGAATACAACACGTATTCCTACACGTCCCTCCCCTACCACGGCACGTCATGGCCCAGCTGCTCTACACTCCCAACACACAGAACTGAGCCACCCCAATTATCGATCACGCTAGCGTATGACACGTCGTCAACGATATTCGCGTCGAGCTTAGTTTGGAGTTACATCGCTTTGCCGCGATCAGCAGCACTCACCGATGAGCACCCCCGACCGAAACCGAGACCGAGAGAGCGACCGTCAAGCAGTGGACGACGACGCCCGGATCAACGACTTGGTGAACGAGAGGGTAGCAGCGAGACTGGCCGAGATTACAAGGCAACAAGACGAGCAGCAGCAGAGGACAGATCACGTCCGGAGCGGGAACGACCACGAGACACGCCACCAGCAACATGCGGGGCGACCATCGGCCGGCCCGTCCGCAGACGACATCGCCCGCACTCTCGCCGACGCCCTGACCAGCCGTCTTCAGATATCACCCGCAGACATGGGTAGAGTACCAAGTAGCGCAGCGACTCTTAGGATGGCTGAGGTTAAGCGCCTAGCGCCGTGGGATGGTATGTATAGGCAAGGAGGATGAACAGGCAAGGTTTTTTATTTTTCGATCGAACATGATTGCTATGTTTGCGCAAGAAGGAGTCAGGGAAGTGGTATTGAGTGACCACAGAATTCCAGTCGGGCTAGAAGGAGTAGACATGGAGGACTTGCGTAGGATGCACTCGCCTGAAACGGTAGAAATGGCGATCACGGCGTGGAATTTGATCATCACGACAATCTCCTACAGGCCTGTCTTGACCCAGATTATCGCTGATGGTAGTCCCAGTGGGGGTTGGAAACCATTTCTAGCATATTACGAACCCCAGGCGAGAGCAGAAAAAACACGGTTGACTTCGGAATACCATGCCATAAAAATGCGAGTGGGTGAAGGTCCGCAGGAATACGTTGGCAGATTTGCTGTTTTGCGCAGTAGGTTAGCCTCACACGGCGTCACATACCCCGACGATGATGCCAATTTGCACGTTGTGTACAACTTGTCTTCCG